ACCCCTTCCTCGGCCTCGAGACGTCGTTCTCTGCGGGGCCTTCCTACCCCTCTGGCCTCGAGGTGTCGTGCCTTGAGTCCCCCTCCCACCCCAGCCTCGAGGCGCCGTACCCCGAGTCCCTCCACCCTCTCCCACTCCCTGGCCTCTAGGCGTCGCACCTCTTTTTCCCACCTCGCCTCGAGGCGTCGTGCCCCTAGGCCCCATTGCTCGCTCGCCTCGAGATCATTTGTCCGTTAGTATAAAGGGTATATATACTCTAGTTTTTGGATGGCAGGGGCATCAATGTCCCAAAAGTATGACGAAGGGTATCTGCATACCATTTACGATAGTTCGGGGTATATTTGTCCTTTTTCCCTTTCAAAGTTAATATATATATATATGTTCATATTATTTTACTTATCTACATCTAATAAATCATGTTAACCCAAAATTCAAATACTCGCCCATTACCCGTTTAACCCACCCAATTTACCCACAAATAAACTATCTAAAAACCTAGGGATGAGGTTTTTTCTTTAGGTTTTTAGATAGTTTATTTGTGGGTAAATCGGGTGGGTTAAACGGGTAATGGGCGGATATTTGAATTTTGGGTTAAATAATTGATCAAATCGGGTTGAACCGCAGGATTGTGTCACGTGTACCAAATAAGTCTTCCTTTAATGGGAAGGGCAAATGTGCACTGGTTATTGGATGTCAAGGGCACTAATGAACGAAAAATATAATGAAGGGTATTTGTATACCATTCACGATAGTTCGAGATATATTTATCATTTTTCCTTAGATAAATTATAGCTAAGGATGTTAATTATATTTCAACTCTTAGCTATTTATGAATTATTATTTTTTGGTTAGCATTAGTATTGATTTCGACTTTATTTGAGTTACTAATTCCTATAAGCTACAATACTCATTGGATTGGTTTGGTTTGGTTTGATTTGACTTTTTTGGGTTAAAATCAAATAAATCAATTATGCCGAATATTTTTTTACAATACTTAATCAAGTCAAATCAAACTATTAATTAACTAGTAAAATGAGCGCTTTGCGCGGAAATTTAACATCACGGAATTTATAAAATAATACTTAAAACCTATCGGTCATTGAAACTAAAACACTATATTATCTTACATACAAGATTACGTTGCAACAAACATTAATAATGTAAAGGAAAATGAAAATTATTACATCTTATCACTTATCCTTAATAACATAAGCATAAATTAATTACTGCAAAAATACATACCAGGATCTGTAACATAAGCAATGGTGTCAGTGAGCCACTCAACCGCAGCAAAATACATAAATATTTATATTTAATTGTGAAGTAGAAGAAGAGGTTCAAAATTTTCGTTGTTTTAAAATGAGAGGGATTCCCTCTATTTATAGACAACAAAGGGCAGTGTGAACAAATGTTAATTGTGCCTTATCGGAAATATTATAACTACTTGGAAAAGTTGCAACCCTTCAGAAAGGTCATAACCTTTCATAAAAGTCACAACTTTTCATAAAAGTCACAACTCTTCGTTAAAGTCACAACTTTTCATAAAAGTCACAACTCTTCGTTAAAGTCACAACTTTTCATAAAAGTCACAACTCTTCGTTAAAGTCACAACTTTTCATAATCAACTCTTCATTAAAGGAGAAGGCTATTTTTATAAATAAATAAATTAAAAGGGAATTCTTGTTTGTGATGGCGCCGTAGGCGGGCCTAAGGTTCTCTTTTATATATATA